TCCCGGACTGGACCCGAACGGCGCCGCCAGAGATTACTGGGAACAGCTGAAAACGGTACTGGGGATACTGGGATATACTGGGAATGGGACTGGGATATACTGGGAACAGCTGAAAATGGTACTGGGAGTACTGGGATATACTGGGATGGACTGGGATATCTTGAGAGGGACTGAGAACAGCTGAAAATGGATACTGGGATATACTGGGAATGGCTGAAAATGGTACTGGGGATACTGGGATATACTGGGATATACTGGGAATGGGACTGGGGATACTGGGAACAGCTGAGAACGGTGCTGGGAGTACTGGGATATACTGGGAATGGCTGAAAATGGTACTGGGATATACTGGGAGGGACTGGGAACAGATCCAGACGGTACTGGGATATACTGGGAATGGGACTGGGAGGGACTGGGATGGACTGGGAGGGACTGGGATTGGGGATGGATTGAGGGTGACTGGTTTGAACTGGTCCGAGCTGGTTTATACTGGTTTATACTGGTTTAAACTGGTTTATACTGATTTATACTGGTTTACACTGGTTTATACTGGTTTACACTGGTTTATACTGGTTTATACTGGTTTAAACTGGTTTTCCAGACGTTCCCAGCCCAGCCCATCCCCCAGTTGGACTTGCTGGGGGTGGGGATAAACTGGTTCAAACTGGTTCCAAACCAGTCCAAACCGGTCCAAACCGGTCCAAACTGGTTCATACTGGTCCAGACAGGTCCAAACTGGTTTATACTGGGATTTTTAGGCATTTCCAGATCAGCCCATCCCCCAGTTTGATCTGCTGGGGGTGGGACAAACTGGGAATAAATGGGTTTAAACTGGTCCAGATTGGTTCCGATTGATGTAAACTGGTTTATACTGGTCCGAACGGGTTTTTACTGGTTTATACTGGTTTTTCAGGCATTTCCAGATGAGCCCATCCCCCAGTTTGATCTGCTGGGGGTGGGATAAACTGGGTCTAAACTGGTTCCAAACCAGTCCAAACTGGTCCATACTGGTTTGTAATGGTCCGAACTGGTCCATACTGGTTTATACTGGTTTGTACTGGTTTATACTGGTTTGTACTGGTTTATACTGGTTTTCCAGGCATTTCCAGATGAGCCCATCCCCCAGTTTGATCTGCTGGGGGTGGGACAAACTGGGAATAAACTGGGAATAAACCAGTCCAAACTGGTTCAAACTGGTTTAAACTGGTCCAAACTGGTTTATACTGGTCCGAACTGGTTTAAACTGGTTTATACTGGTTTTCCAGGCGTTCCCAGATGAGCCCATCCCCCAGTTTGACCTGCTGCTGTTGGGGGTGGGGCCGGACGGTCACACGTGCTCGCTGTTCCCCGGCCACGCCCTGCTCCAGGTGAGTATGGGAAATTCGGGAATTTTGGGAATTTTGGGGAAAGTTTGGGAATTTTGGGAAAAAAGTGGGAAATTNTACTGGGATATACTGGGATATACTGGGATATACTGGGATATACTGGGATATACTGGGAATGGTACTGGGGATACTGGGATATACTGGGAGGGACTGGGAACAGCTGAGAACGGTACTGGGATATACTGGGAATGGCTGAGAACGGTACTGGGATACTGGGATATACTGGGATATACTGGGATATACTGGGATATACTGGGATATACTGGGAATGGCTGAAAACGGTACTGGGATACTGGGATATACTGGGATATACTGGGATATACTGGGATATACTGGGAATGGCTGAAAACGGTACTGGGGATACTGGGATGGACTGGGAGGGACTGGGATTGGGGGTGGATTGAGGGTGACTGGTTTGAACTGGTCTGAACTGGTCTGAACTGGTTTACACTGGTTTATACTGGTTTTCCAGGCATTCCCAGGCCAGCCCATCTCCCAGTTTGACCTGCTGGGGGTGGAATAAACTGGGTCTAAACTGGGTCTAAACTGGGAACAAATCGGTTTAAACTGGTCTAAACTGGTTCCAGTTGGTGTAAACCGGTCCAAACTGGTTTAAACTGGTCTGAACTGGTTTAAACTGGGATTTCAGGTGTTCCCTGACCTGCTGGGGGTGGGACAAACTGGGAATAAAATGATTTAATCTGGGAATAAATTGATTCAAACTGGTCTGAATGGTCCATACTGGTCTGAACTGGTTTATACTGGTTTTTACTGGTTTATACTGGTTTAAACTGGGATTTTAGGCATTTCCAGATCAGCCCATCCCCCAGTTTGATCTGTTGGGGGTGGGACAAACTGGGAATAAATGGGTTTAAACTGGTCCAGATTGGTTCCAACTGGTTTAAACTGGTCCGAACTGGTTTATACTGGTTTATACTGGTTTAAACTGGTTTACACTGGTTTATACTGGTTCAAACTGGTTTATACTGGTTTTCCAGGCATTTCCAGATGAGCCCATCCCCCAGTTTGATCTGCTGCTGTTGGGGGTGGGGCCGGACGGTCACACGTGCTCGCTGTTCCCGGGCCACGCCCTGCTCCAGGTGAGAATGGGAAATTTGGGAAAATTTTGGGAATTTTGGGGGAAAATTTGGGAATTTTGGG